CACACTATTTCCAGTTACCCTGAAAACACCCAAGAAGTCAAAAACCTAGTATTTGGTTTTAGGAAAGGTAATTTTAATGAGGAAAGTTCAAAAAGTTAAATCCCGATCCACTTGCCAGTATCCTTAACTAATGAAGATGGAAACCTGTGACTAATGAACACAAAGGGCACGTCCACATTTGCAAGTGCTGCAAATTTGAGCCAGGGTTTTTTGCCTTAGCGTACATGCTCAGACATGCACTTTGTTGTGGAGCAAAGTGTGCCACTTGGGGCAAAATAACCCTGCCTGCCTTCTTCTGGATCTGCAGCCAGAGGGAGCTAGAGCCCAGGGCCAGCACCTGTGCTGTCCCCAACAGTATAAAAAGCCGCCCTGGCAAGTAGCACAGGGCCACTTGCTCTCAGGAGCTTCTGGGGCCCAGCCAATTGGTACTGGGGGGCATTACCACTTGTGCCAGCTGGATTGCTGAAGCAGCCCTGAGAGTTCCCTGAACCCTCTACCCACTGCAGCAGTCTGGCAGTGGGGGCTGCTGCCTGGCTGTGACCTGCTGCACAGCTGCCAGACCTGGATGGGGACTGCACAGCCAGTAGAGGCATCTGCCCCTCTGAGCCAGCTGCCAGTGGACTGTGGTTGCGGGGTTGGCCTCTGTGTGGCACTACTGCCATCTGGGCAGCTATTGCCCTGAACATATTCTGGGAGTGGTGGCCTGCTTTGAACTGTCAAAGCATGTCCTCCTGGCCCCATTGTTTTCCGGGTTTTTTTGGTTTGGTAAAGGGATATTTGTTTTCTATAAGTCGTCATTAGGGAATCATTGTAAGAACCTTGATAATCTTCTGGATGCTGGTGTTCATAGACCTGTTCCTAGCATTGCTTCAGACATTAGTTAGGCATTTACTACACACAGTGAGTTTTGCAGTTAAGAAAGCACTGGTTAGATATCCCTAGCTTTTCATGACAAAATCATTTGACACAGCTCCATTATATGACCTATGGGGCTGCTGACAACTAAATATACTACAAAGTGAAAACAGTTTAGAACATTCTATAGATTATAGCCCTTGTTCAGATATCACATTTTTCAATTTTTTGGCACATGGATAGTGGTAGCACTACTGAAATAACATAGACTGTCATTTTTGTCACCATCCCTGAAGCAGTCATTTGAGAAATCAGGAAGCAGAAGTTTGATGGAGAGTACAAATGGCATTACCTAAAATCCCCCTTCTTTCATGTATAAACAAGCTTCCCAGAACTTCCTTGTATGATCTGTTTCCATATCAGAGTTAGTTTTATCAATGTTTTACCAGTGATAGCAATTGTACAGCTGGGAAACAAATCCACATCTCTTGAATCCTGGTATAGCCCTTTGACCATTTTTTTCATATTGCTCATGCTTTTCTAATTCATTTTTCATCTAACAGACTAGAGCTACATCTAGTTAAATCATCCATCTAGAAGGACCTGATACAGTACAGTAACTCCTATATACCAACAGTCCAAAATATAGTCTTTGCCAGTGTTCAGGACTAGATGTGTTCAAGCAAAGTTTAAGAATCTACATAATGGACATTGATAGCCTTAATTTAGCTTTAAGCTTTGTTCTTGTGTGTTTGAGTCTAATCCTCAGTTTTATTTTAAAACCGAGGGTTGTTTTTCCTCTGAAATATTTAGCTTTGAGGCATCCAACCTAAACTCATTGGTGTAATTATCATCTTTGCACACTTCATTTTTTCACATTTTCATTTGATTCATGGTTGCACATTGAGATGTCCAGAAACCCATATTGTCATAGTGAAAAGGAATAGTTCCTTGTAACTTGCATTGTTTAGTGAAATAAAAAAAATATGTAGTAAATGCAATATTATTGATTATTTTCTGGAATCCGTGTAATCTGATGAGACAGCTTTTACTGCAGTAGGGCCAAAGCCTCTGCAGGTCACATTAGAGATAACAGAAGCACCCTGGGGAATTCTTACATCACTATACATCATTCAGGATATGCTAAATACAATGTTAAAGTCTTATTGAATTTGAGTTTGGTCCCACAGAAATTTAACACTCTGTTCTCAGTCCAGAAAATATTTAAGTTAGTGTTTAAAGGTGCCTATACATGAGCACAGAGGCTGCTCCAATGCACTGTAATTACTCAAGTCTCATATATCAGAGTCCCTGTGCTTCAAAATGGTGGTGGGGGCACTTGAACTAAATTTCATTGAATAAGCTTTAGTTCAAATACCCCGTTGCCATTTGGAAGCATAGGGATGCTGATACATGAGACACTACAGAACTTTAATTAAAGCGACTCTCGGAGCTGCTCTAATTAAAGCACCACCCTTCACAAACTGCAGAGCACATGTAAAAGTTCCCTATATGTCTGAGGAGTCTTACTGAAGACACTGGGGCTACTTACAGGTTCAACATTAAACATCTGCTTTTATGTTTGCTGGAGTGGAGCTCACCACCTTGGAGGACTGAGTAAATAGCAATATATCTGAATACTATTTGAATGTCATTGCCTTTTCGGTAGCACATTCAGACACAGGATAGTGGGCATATGTGCAAATCTATTTGGTTGGTAAAGACATAATGTGGAGCTCTATACTTTGTGATCACTTGTCCACCATTGGCTGAATCAACAAGGAAAGACTTAAAATGAAATAGCAATACATCTTCCATGGTAAGAACTGGGGGAGGCCACAAAGGATGAGTCTGGAACCAGATCTGGATCTGAACTTTCACAGCACTTGGAAATGTGTTTCTAGTACTCCGTTCTTTTGAGGCTCTATTGAGGCCTCTAATTACATGCCCCAAATGTATCGGTGACATCACAAGAAACTTGAAACACTGTGACTCATTTGCCTGAGGTAGTAGTGAGTGTTAAGGGTACAGAGAAACTAGCTATAACACAAGATTCCTGTCATCTTGGGAAACCTGCCAAATTGATCAGGTTAGGGAGGCCTGGATTCATCTATCTTAGAGACTTTCTCTACAAGGCACCTTCTGTGTAAAATGAAATCTATCTGATGACATTTTATTCTAGAAAGTGCCATCTATCCAAAGTAAATGAACCATTTCTTTGTAATCTATTTGGTTCATCTCCAGGACATGAAAGTACACCTTGTAAATGGTAATATTACTGAAAACATCTTATTGTGTCGGAACTTTTGCATTCACTCTTGCGTGTTTCTGATGTGAATGCCACTGAGTCCAATTTCTTGAAAATTATGAAGCCTCTGTTTTCCATTTAGAACCTGTTATTATCAGCAGTCTTTTTTATGTCTTTTTTAGAAAAAAAGCATAAGGGAAAATGCAAATGAAACTGAGAAGTATGCATTGCGGTGGAGTTTGCTAGATTTGTTTTAAGAAGGAATACAATAGAAAACACTCTTACAGGCTTTTGATACTGGAATTAATTTGACTAAATCCATAGACAATGTAGTCATACACTGGAATGATCATCTGAAATTCCTAGTTTCAAGGAATTCTTAGTTTCCATCTGTTTGAGCTGGAATCTGATACACCCTTATATATTATTAATATTAAACTAAAGAGGGGGAAAAACAATTTAAACTAAAGTCAGAATATCAGCTTGTTCTCATCAAGCAAATGTCATGGAGTACATAGGGTATAAAATAGTTCTGCCTCACCCATGTGGTTTGTCTTTTGTTTCCTTTGTCTTCTGTTATCTGAATCATAGATTGTGAGCTCTCTTGGGTAGGAACTGCTTGTGTGTTATTTGGAGGTGTAGCCACTGTTAAATGGGGCACCAATATTGGCTGCTTAGGTATTATTTCAGTAGAAGGTAATAAAATAATAAACAACAAGGAATGAAAAACTTTTAAATGTTCTTTTGGGTCATTATTCATCTGTGCTATGGCTATGCATTTTTTAGTGAATGAGCTATCAGTTGTGGCTATTCAGTACTGCCTTAACAGTAATTTGGCCTGAGAGGGAGACAGCCTTTTCCTGAGGGGGCAAAACCCTGCCTTTCCTCCCCCAGTTCTCCCACCCCACAAATATCTCAGCATGCTGTGGTGCTCACATTTCCATCATCCATTTGAAAGGTACAATATTTCATAGATTTCATAGACATTCGGGCTGGAAGGGACCTCGGAAGATCATTGAGTCCAGCCCCCTGCCCAAAGGGCAGGAAGTCAGCTGGGGTCATAGGATCCCAGCAAGATAAGCATCCAATTTACTCTTGAAGGTGTTCAATGTGGGTGCTTGAACCACCTCCGATGGCAGGCTGTTCCAGACCTTGGGGGCTGATTCTCTAAGGTCTCTGTTCAACTTGGGATGTAGGAAGGGGATGCAAGACATGGTTACTATATTGGGGCAATAAACACCCTCAATCATGTAAAGAAAAATAAGTCCTTTTGTTTCCCCAAATGCAGAGACTGTGACTGTGTTTAATTCTTAAGTCGCAGGTTCAAAAGGAAGTGAAAGCAAAATGTGACTAGAATTCATGCCAATTCATTCTATTATGAATCAATTCTAGCTGCAGATCTGAGTTCTTCGGAGATTAGTGCAAGTTTAAATAGATTGTTTCCAGGCCTAATATCTCAGAATGAAATTAAGTGAAATTTCTATTTGTTTTCCCATTCAGAAAGCTTCTGTTGAATTTTAGATTTAAAGATAAAAAAACTAATGCAGGAAAGGAGAGACTGAGATACACAAGAGGCAAAGAATTGAGCCTTAAAACACAAAGTGCTGGTTGCAACTGTGAAAATGGGGTAAGGGCCACCCTTGCATAGCATGTTTATGGTAAGGTTTATGCTCATATGTAGAATTTAAAATGTTGAGAAACATTTTCTATCGTGTGCTTTAAAGCAGAACTCTTCTGGTATGCATGTGTCAAGAAGATAAAGTGGATCCCACACTCTATATGGCAAATGGGTAACATCTGTATTTCTTGAGAGATTTCCTAAATCAATAATAGACTTTTTCATTCTTTAATATAAACCCATCCCTGTTTCTTTTTTTCCTTTCTGAATTTGTCACAGGGGACTTCTTATCTGCTGGAGTGTTTTCATAAATTGAATATGTCCACAGCAATAGAGCTCCAAGAAATGAAAGGCAAAATAACATGGCTGCAAAACTACATGCTTAATTTCACAGGCCAGCTCCTCAGTGTGGAGGAAAAAAATGACGCTTTGATGCATCCGTTAAATTCACAGGTCTGTATTTTTCTGCCTGAACAATTTGACACCCATTTTTACAAAACAATGTTCAACCTCATTTATTTCTTACTTCAGAGGTTATTAAAATAGGGTAAGAATTAAAATGCCACATGGAGACCACATTATTAGTTTTTAAAAATCAAAATCACCAGAAACCTGATCTCCTGGCCTTGCCCCGTTCTGTGCCACTTTTACAGCAAGCTGACTTTTGCTAACCCACACTTACAATGAAAATCTCAGAATTAGTAGCCAAAGGTCTTTGGAATTCCCACTGATTTCATTGGGGCCAAGATTTCACATATGCAATTTAAGTACAACTCTGATGAGGTCAAATAACTGCTTAACTTTAATGGGGCCAAGCTTTCTTTGAATCACATTTATTCAGAAATCCATCTTCCATGGAGAAGCAAATTCCGAATGTGACTCTGCAAGTTTAAATATGGCTACCCAGTAGAAATGAGTATTGGATACTACTATTATTATGGCATTTCTCACAATGTGAAATAGCAGATCCTTGGGAGAACCCAGCAGAGCAAGTTCATGTAAATATCCTCCTTCCGTTTAAGTGGGAATGCTTGGCCCCATCGATTTTTTTTTTTCCTATCTTGTAATTTTACAGAAATGGCTTAGCATCATTTTTCTTTTTAACTCTTGTAGAACCCTTTTGAGTCTAAGATGAATGCCATGGAAAAGCAATTCAGCAATGCCACAGAGGCTCTGAGCAACCTTCAAAACCGCCTTGAGGAGGTTAGCTTGCTAATTTATCTAACATAAAATACAATTTGCAATAGACATTGACTTCTGCCCAGTGTCTTATTTGTAACAGTCCTTTTTAGGATGTGGAGCAGGGATACACATGAATGTATCGAAGCAATAATTGCCATCAAGTACTTAGGACTTGATTGCACAAACTACTGTAAAAAATTCAAGGTGAAGACAACTATATATCTTGGTTAGGAAGCTACTGGAAGTATTGGCTTCTATATAGGATGTATAAAAATGCAGAAGATAGCAAAGTACTTAAAGAAATACAGAACTCTCTGAGCCAAGGTTCAGCTCCCCACAGGAAAATCAGATACTAACATTCAACACTTCTACCTTCATCAGCTACAGCCAGGACAAGTAATCTCCCGCTCTCTACTGCTACACACTCTAACCCTACTAACAGTAGATCAAAGAGTTCCCAGGAAGTCCTTTAACTTTACTAGATTTTCCTTTCTAGGACTTGTAATTTATTCTAGGGAAAATCATAGAATCACAGGCAACTTGTGGGTGGAGGGCATGGGGCAACACGTGCCTCCCCCTCTCCCCCCCCAAAATTGGCCAACTTGGCACCGCTCGGGATGGGGCAGGTTTTTTGCCATGTGGCCCAGCAGCGTGTTGGAGGCGGCACTAAGTCATGGCACAGAAGTACAGGAGTGGATATGGGGCTTTTGGCCTGCTCCTGGGCCCACCCATAAATTGTGCCCCCCCAGACTCAGGTGGCACCAGTCACCCCTGCATAGAATCATAGAATTGGAAGCAGGTTTGTCAACTGTCCATAAATGTATAAGCAGTCAGTAAAAATTCAGGTTAAAAATGCCTGTCTATAACATCCATAAATACATTTAAACCATCCAGAGAAACAATCAAGCTCTAGTTGCTTTGTGAAACTCCCTCTTGGAAAGAAGCTGGCCCTTAGAGCTTGATGGAAGGAGAGCAGTGCCATCTGGTGTCCAAGCGGGACTGCAGCACCCTGCAAGAAGCCTTCTCAAAGGGCTCTGTTAGACCTCTTTCCCCACACCTACCCCCCACAACCTCCCTCCAGCCATGTGCAGCTGCTGATGCTTCCCATCCTATAATTCTTCTGGGTTGCAGATATGCTTCTTTGTGGGGGTCCATGCTCAGACACAGGCAGTGGAGCTGCTAGAGGTAAGGTTGGGTGTGGGCTACATGGTGCAGCTTCATGGTCAAGACCAGCAGGGTATGGGGATTAGTACGGGACCCTGGAGGTGGAGGCAGCATGAGGTAAAACTATTGCTGCCATCAAGCAGGTTTTCCAGCCCAAAATTTTTTTTGTTGCAAACTTTTTACTGACAACTGAACTTTTTTTTGTTTTTTCAGTATGCTTGGTGTTAAACCCCTACATTGGAACCTAGCCCTTCTAACTGGGGCCTTGCAGCAGAAGAGTTACATTTACATTATGTAAAACAGATATCATTAAAGCATATGTCAGTTAAAAATGTTTGGTTGTCATTACAATTTTGCAGATTGTCAATTGAAAAAAAAAACCTCTTGGGTTGTAACCCTGGTTGGAAGGAACCTCAAGGATCAACTCATTCAACCCTCTGAAAAAGTCCTGGATGCATGCTAGATAAATGCTTATCCAGCTTCTTGAATCTTTTCAATGAAGGCAATTCCACAACTTGCTTGGGCAGCTTGTTCCATTGTCCTACTCAGCTGATACTAAGGAATCACCCCCCCCCCAATTTAATCTAAATTTGCTTTGCTGAAGTTTAAACCCTTTGTCCTGCCTTCAGTGGCAAGATAGAACAGTTGTTCTCCCTTTTCTTTACGGCAACCTTTCAAATATTTAAAGCCTGCTGCCATGTCTTCTTTTTCTCCAATTTAAACATGCCTACTTTTTTCTTCCCTCCTTTGTAGCATGTACTGCAGCTCCTTTATGAACTTTGTTACTCACCTCCAAGTGTACTAAGGCTTAAACTCAGCTCTATTTTCTTTGCCTACCTATACTATCATCTATGCAGATGCTTTATCAAAAGGATAAAGGTCAAAGCATTGGGTGTGTTAGTCAAGGAGCAACAGAGCACTTTGCCCATACTGCATGGGAGCAATACTGGCCACGGGGTATACAGAGCTGTGTGTATATTTCTATGTGTGCGTATCCTCCTGTCCCAGATAAGTCATTGCCTGTACATCCTGCACCAGTTCAGTGTCCTATGCCTATATCATGTATAGCTCCATTCACAGTTGCATTTATATCCAAATTTCCTTCTCCTGATTCAACACTGAGGAGCTGCAGTATATTGGCAAACAAGGCCCCGTCCCAGGCAGAGTACAAGGGCTGCAATTTCAGCCCTCAATTTGGCTGATCCACTTGAATTGTGCTTTTGTCCATCATGACATCAACAGAAGCATTTCACTGAATTGCTGCCTTGTTTTCAGTCACAGTCAGTGCTCAGTATCACTCTGCATTTTGCATAAGGCATCTTTGAACATATCCCCAGCACAGTCTAACAAAAAGACTGGACTGGGCTGCGTAAAGAGCAATGCTACTTTCTTTTCCCAGGTTCAGAATCAGCACTATTTAGTTTCAAAGTTTTCACTGAAGTGATCATATTCTCTTTCGCTCAGTCAAAAATCACATCTTCAGGTTTGTTTAGTCTAATAATACTTGAAGCAAAGGGTGTATATATAATACCTGAAGCAAACAGTCAATTATCTAGGGGGACATAATCTTCTCTGGTGGCGAAGCAGGACTGGTGTGGAAAATGTATGCTCTGGCAGAGGATGATTCAGTTCTTATCCTGGGCATTAACTTACATCTCTGATTTCTCAGGTACAACTGAAGGGAGGGGACATGGTGCTGCTTTTTCAGGTGGACCAAAAGGCCTGGTCACTCTTCAGAGAAATGAAGTAGTCTTAGAACCAAATGTGAATTCAAATCAGTGAGATTATGCAAAAGGATGGTGCTTAGAAAGAACAGTAATGTAATATCTTTGTAAAGAAAAATATATTGCCAATCTTAATGCGATTTATCATTGGTCCTACAATCAGGATATATGAATAGTAATAGCAATACATTTCTTGTTATGTAGAAAGGCCAAGTTCTGCCTTCAATTACCTATAGAACCTTATTGATTCAAAGGGATATAATTAGTGAGGTCAAAAATGTGGCCTTATCATTTCACATTTTCAGAATGCACAATTCATAGTACATAGAGAAGGCCAAACCCTTATGGACACCATTAATAAGAAGTACTACAGTGTTTAACTGGGAAACAAGCACTGCTGCTTACTTTAGGAACAAGGCAGAGACATACTTCTGGGTTAAGTGGAAGTTAGTTGCTTCCACAACAATACCTCACAATACACACACACTCCCGCTCTGAAAAAAAGTCTTCAAAATCCCCAACCCCTACAATCACCAATCTGCAGATAGAAGTGGGGAGGATTCTGGAGCACAGGGCTAGTGTCATTCATTCTTAAACCCTGTCGAAAAGTTGGCAGATAAATGATGCCACCTTGAATAATATCTTTCTATAGGGTCTTGCTTAATAGGGCCTGAGTCCCACTTGGGATCTGTAGAATCACACAGTCCTGGAAAAAAAAGTGCTGTAAGGGGCCTCAGGAGGGCAACCCCCTGCTCTCAAGGCAAGATCATTCTGGGTGTGTCCAACCTGGTCTTAACCTTGTTCCAAAGATGGAAATGTCACAACTTTTGTTAAGCAAACTGATCCATTATCTAAGCATCCTCAGTTAGAAAGTTGTTTCTAATGTCCTAAATTTCCCCTGCTGCAATGTACTACCATTACTTCTTGTTCTGTCCTCTGTGGCCACCATCTATCACCATCTTCTTTATTCTCACCCTTCTTGTATTTTAAGGCTGTTACCAAAGCTCCCCTTCTCATCTAAATCATCCCAGTTCTTCCAAGCTTTCCTCATTACTGATGTTTCCTAAACTGCTAATCATCTTTATTCCTATCCATAGGATTCTTTCCAATTTGTCCCAAACTTTCTTGAAGCTTTAGGTGTCTCCATTATGTGACTATTTACTAAATAGTTTGGAGTAATTTGGTTTATAGTCAATTGTGAAACTCACATCCCTTAAAGGCCCTATCCAACTGGATACAGAGACCTGGGATGTGAGCAATATAGTTTTAGGCTTGTTTACTGAAATTCTGTTCCTTACTTTGAAGTTTATGTAGAACATATGAAAATACATAAGGGAACAAAATTGTCTTGTCTCCTTTCATAGAAATATCTTCTCATACAAACAGTCTGAGAAACATATCCACACATGTCTGACAACCTGCTAATTTGAAGCTTCTGCTTGTTTGTGCCTTCTTTCCAGCAGAAGGAAGGATTTAGCAGCGCTGTTCCAAAGCTCTGACAGATTGCGCACCACCAATTTAAAATGATACAACATTAAGTACCACCAGCAAATTTTTGTCATATAAAGTAATTATACTAAAAATTTTGTTAATGCATACCACTGACAGGTTGTCTGCATACCACTGGTGATACCACAGATTGGGAAGACAGCCTCCTTTGCAGTTTAGCCAAATCCTAAACAAATATTGTTGAAATAAAAAACTGACTTCACCACTAGATGTCACCAGAATACTAACAATATCTCACAACTCAGCAACTGTAGCCCTTTTACCATTGAAATAAAATGTTCCCAAAACATACAGATTCAATTCAAGAAAAGGAAAAGGACTTTGTTTCAGTAATTTGCATCTAGAAACACCAAATAAACCAACATTCTAACATGCTGTCCACAATAAAAGACTCGAGATCCTTGTTAAATAAAGTATAGCAATGAGTTGAAGACTCATTGTTGCTTATAGTAAGTAATTCCCTTTTTGGCAATCTGAATGAAGAGGCTAGTGATGGACAGGGCCTGGTGATTTATCTTCCCCAGTGGTTGGGATTGAAGAATAGGTTGGGATACATAAGTGAATACCGAGTAAAAAAGTTTTCAAGCCTCAGGAAAACTTTTGAGATGTTGGGTATTTTTCCCATATAGAATTAAGACAAAATGGCACATCCTGGAAAATTGTTGTGAGCAAGCAAACCAAAGCTAGATTTAGTTTGGCTCACTTGGATCTTGATACTTTTATGTTCTTTTTTTGCTTGTTTTACTGGAATTGGTTTAAATTTCCAAATAAAAGTAATTTCAGAGAGTTTCAGAACTTAATTGAAATATTTTCAAAATAAGAAATTCATAGTATCATAGGAATAGAAGGATACCACTCAGCATCTAATTCCCTGTGATAGCAAGCAATCATGTCATACTAATTACTTTAAGAAACTTATCAAGCTTCATATTAAACTACTTAGTTTTTTGTCCCATTCTTCCAGAACCTCACTCCTTGTTAGAAATGGACTTCTAGCTTCCAGTGTCAAATTATTCATTGATAATTCATGACCCTTTGTTCTTGTGCCACCATTGTCCTTCAGCTTAAAAAGCTATTTTCTTTCCCTCGTCTTTACACCTCTGAGAAATGATATCCCTTCCTGAGTCTTCTTTTTGCTAGGCTGAAGAAGTCAAATTTAGTCACCCCTCATAAAATGGAATGAAACTGCTGAAATTCTTTCCGACAAGCAGTTTAGAGTAAATTGGCATTTCGTAATGAAAAATATGTTTAACTGAGACCTTACCAAGTAGCTGTAGGGCACTCCCTTTGGTTAGGCCACATTTGTTTTGTATTTGAGATAAGCTGAGGAATTTAGGGTCCCACACTGGCAAAATAAAGAGGCCTTATCATAAATGAAAATTGTGCTCAAACTTTTTGGAACTTTCAACCCAGCAGCTTCCATGAGCACTTAAGTCACACTGTGGTATACTTAAAGCCCACATTTTTCAAAATAAAAACTGCTGTAACACTGGATTCCTATGCTCACTACCACGGAGACATTTATTTCTAAAGTGTTTGCAAAGAAATAAATTTTGGTTTAGTCTGCTCATCAGGCAGTTATAAGTACAGTCAGTGTGAGAGTGTAGTGTATGCCTACAGCCTAATTAATGGCACTCACTATTGAATTCATCTCACCAGGGCTGGCATTGCACAGGAAAGTAGGAATGAATGCTAGTAGTACCAGGTGGAGCCCCAATACCCATCCATCAGTAGCACATCTAAGCCCCTCTCTAGGGTTTGGAAGAGGTTACAATTCTTCTGGATGAACGTGGGAAGTGTACTTGAGGAACTATAAGGAGTAATTTTGCACAAATACATTATTCACTCATGAGACAGAAAATGTTTTTTCCCTTTATAAAGGAATAATAAATATAGTTATGTACAAAAAGTGTATTGTTTTGCATTATGTGGTGCATTGGCATTGATTAAAATTGCACTGATGTAACATATAGCATATCTATTAATGGCTCTTTATTTGACAGGGACTGGACACAGTGTTTTTACAGATCTCTCAGCTTAAAGACGATTTCTTCTTTATTGAGAGCTTCTTGAATCACACAGATATGAAAAGCTCAAAGTCCTATGTGTCCACATCTAAACTCTCAAAGGAAACTGAAGATACACCTGCAACTATCCCTCCAAATACCCAGGCTGATGGTGGGTCAGATATTTTAGTCCAGATTAAGATTTAAATTGATCATTCATATTCACTTGAGGGCTAAATTTGAAAAGATAAAGTGAATTTGCAAAAATTGGATTGGATTGAGGTGTACTTGTAAGCACACCCCTTAAATAGAACAATTCACTCTACTGAAAAAAAGGATGCATCCCAGTGGTACTGAGAACTGCAAATCCCCATCTGACTTGGAGAATGGGAGTTAGCTCTTGGGATTTGGCACTGCGATTGCACAGTTCATTTTACTTTTGATTTCCCTGCCTGGTGCAACTTCTGCCCAAACAGCACGTGCAAGTTTCCAAGAAGCTAGGAGCAGTGAAAGAGCAGTCACTGATTTGAAAGTCTATTATTGCCTCTTCCTGAAATAATAATAATAAAAGAAAAGCCCATTGAAATCCATCTAATCAAATATTATAACTTCTGGTCAATGCAAGTCCTTACAGATCATACCAGTGTAATTTTGCTGTTCTATTCATGGGGGGAAACTTCCTCTCCAGTCTCTGATGGCAATTGCTTTATGACATGAAACATGGTGTTAAACTATCTGTACCATTATTTCAAATTCCATAACTACTAATATTATTTGGTGTTTTGCATTTTAAAAGTGTTTTACAGTATTTGAATGAATAACTCCAACCATTATATTTACTGTATGAAAATATGTTTCCTGTTATTAGCTCAAGCTTTACTTCCCTTTATATTCATTAAATCATTCCATTTTGTTTTTATTTTGCAAAAATAAAAATAAATGGCTGATCAGTTTTCACTGCACACTTTATAAATCTGAATACCTCAATTAAGTCATTGCTATATCTTCCCTTTTCCAAAATAAGTAATCTTCCTTCTGTAGTCTCTTGTATATCAGCCTCAGTAATCATCTTTATCGCCTTCATTTTGGCATTTGGCATCTGCAACTTTTTTTAACTAATCATTAGTATCACATACTTTCTATTTATCAACATACTGAGATTTTTTTTCAATGTCCTATGGAACAACCAAGATGAACTTTGAACTAATGTGAAGACTTATGACAGCTAGAGATACAGTCCAGGTAGAGGTCTCTGTTGATTTGTTCTTCAGTCCACTGTTGATGCCTGACTTGCAGAAGCTACTTGGTGGCTAATTAAGCATTTTCTGAGTAGGAAAAATACAGAATATTTTATTGAGTTAACAATGAACCAGGAAAAGATTTTTTGAAAAATGCCTAATATATTTTTTGCAGGAAGACTTTTAATTTTGTTTCAATGTAAATGAATGCTCAGAATAAAAAATACCTTGTCTCATTTTAGCATTGTAGCTGGTTTTACAGGAAGATATCTTACAATGCATCCTATTTCAAATACACTTGAACATACTGAGCAAGAAAGTGACACTGATGCTCACATGTCATTGAATAGGAACCATGTTTAACATTTTAATCAGTATGCCAGTCACATCTAAACTGCCAATCTTTTCACATCAATTTGTATGTCATTATTATTAATTAAAGGCAGCTCCTCAGATGGCTTAATCTGAATGGCACAGGGCACATCTGTACATGCACATTTAGTATGCAGTATCCAAAATTACTGTGCAGTACATGCCTGTACTGTGCAATAAATATGGTGACTTATGTTGACTAGAACATAAATTTGATACATGCATCCTGCAGGTATCAAATTTAGGCCCTATAAGTTACTGCACAGTAATACATATGTAGACACCTTACTGCACAGTAACGCCTTTTGTGTGGACTGACTTGGCACTAACTTTAGTCCCAAGTCAGTCCACACAGTGTTAATGAGCTTTAACACCTGCACGGATAAGACATTGGCCTATTCCTGCTTACTGTGCAGTAATTTACTGCGCAGTAAATTTAAGACAGCATAAATGCATGTGTAGACATGCCCACTGATTTGCATTATCTGAGAATTTGCCTCTACTCTGTTTAAAAGCTCATTTTGCCCACACAATGGGTGAATCACTGCAGAAAACAAAGAGAAGATGGTGCCATTGTAGACTGGAAGCAGGCATCATACAACCTAAGAATGTTTATTTAAAATAAATTATGCAATATTTGTCTTTCTGTCTTTGGTAGTATAAGTAATGTAATCTTCACATGGTTTCTCATGTAATGAAAGGATCTACTATAATGTTCCCTATAGCACTACTGAAGGATCCAACAGCCCAAGTCCTTCTAGACCATAAGACAGAAACAATGGGGCCAGAGACAATGGAGAAACCCAAAATAAACATCCCATTTATAAAGAAACTTACAGGTGAGATTGTTGGTGTTGGAACATATTATCTGCAATTGAGCAGAATGAACAAATGCTGTAAAATTTGTATAGGTTCAGTTTTAAACAATATTCACTAGGGATAAAATTCACTCCTGGACAGAGGGACTGCAGAACTCTTCAAAAGAGAACATCTTAATACAACATCAGATTTATGTGGATGTAACTTCTCCTTTACACTGGTAAAAGTAAGGTCAAAATCAAATTCTAATCTTGTTATTAGTTTTCATCAGACAAAATTATTCCCATGGCTCTAAATCTTTTATTTGTTCTTTTCTGGACATATTGTATTTGTGGTGAATCATTTATGAGTGGCCAGATATCAACAGAGAAAGCAATATAAGTTCTGACCCTTGATTTTGTTTTCTTCTTTGATTATTTTTGGGAATTTAGCAGTTATTTCCACTAAGCTGTTCACATTGACTCCCTAGTTTATTACTAGTACTGTTACTACTGCTTCTACTACTGTTTTCTTGACTAGACATAGTTAATCTGGAACCCTTCAGTCATTACTTTGTACTTGAATATCATCTACTCTCTTGGTGTGTAAATTCCTAGTTTATTTTAGTACTTTCTGGGCACATCCACAAGTTCATTAATGCACGTTTGCTACTGCGCATTAAGTTTAGTACCTCTAATATGAGGTACAATCACAGCGTCACATGCAGACACACCCTCTGTTGTGCTTCATAATCACCTCTGGTCTTAAATTAGCTAAATAATGTTGTGTCGCTTGTATATTTTACCTGTTTTATACCTTTCCCTAGGAAATTAATATAGTAAGTAATCATCCTACCAATGTGGTTAGCACAAAACTGCATGTGGAGAGGGACACAGGACAATTTCTGACTCCTAAAGGACTGGTTGTTTTATGTCCATAAGCCAAATGATATACTCTGGTCTAAATATCGTTCAGCAAAAAAAACCTGCTCCAGGAAAGGGAGAAGCTGCCTCTACAGATGCTTTGGGAAACAGCAGTATCTTGTAACCTTTAGAAGTGACTTTCTAGTTTGTACATGCTGATTAGAAAATTCTTTTTCTGTCTCAGGGTCAGAGAAATGGATAATAAGTGTACTTGCTGACTAGGAGCTCAGACTTGGCCCCTTTCCAGATACTCAATACATTCTTTGTATAAATAGGGTCTTTGTAAATGTCCAAAAATGAGATTATCTATCTATCTATCTATCTATCTATCTATCTATCTATCTATCTATCTATCTATCTATCTATCTATCAATAGATCTTATTTTTGGACATTTACAAAGATCCTATTTATACAAAGAATGTACTGAGTATCTGGAAAGGGTATGCATATATATATATAAATGGAACTTATAATTCTATGGTGCTGTATATGAGTCTGAAATGACTTGATTTTATTGTGAACTAATTTATTTGTGTCACAAGGACAATGGAAAGTAGAAAGGATTATTTTCATCATGTTCACTTAAGGGCTATATCAATCAGCATCAACCAGTCTGAAGCTTCAGGCTAGAGCTAGCTGAATAACAGTTTTCCTCATTCCATCTGCATCCTAACCAGTGACATGCAGCTCAAGAGTGGTATTATGGTTATTTGTTAACTGCTAGACAATCATTCAAATGCAACACAATTTAAGAAATAAGGAATAGTTGCCTGAGGCAGCTCTTCAGCTGTTCCAAGCAGCCCTTGGCTTCAGCTGGAACTATGGTCCATTTCTTCTCACCACTGCTATTTGTACAACAGATCTCCCACCTTCACTCCCTTATAAAGTAATAGGTTGAAGTTACATGTTACACTTTGACCATACTAAATCTATGGAATTGTTAAAGTTAGAAGTTAAAGTTAGAATGTGGTGTGAGCAGTCGCACATTGAGAGTGAATACCATTTCTTGGCTGCACAGCTCTGACTTGTCACTGTGGCTAGAGACAGACATTCAGAAACATGAGCCTGAATTGATTCAATCTCTGCACATTAGTCCAACCTGGCTAGGCTAAATCACTTTGTAACTGCATAGACATCCCAGAAATGCCTGCAGTGGCTTGGGCTAGAAGCCGGGGGATGCTAAAGCAGTCCTCCCTTCCTTCCACAGGAGCTGAAGTAGGGTGTGGGCAGGATGCCCTGATTAGCCCAGAAGGGAATTGATAACAGTGTTTATGACCCCCAACTTAGTCTTTATCGCCCCATTAGGAAAACAACAGAGGGACATTACCAGCTACCTGTTGATTCTGCTTGTTGATTCTACCTGTTGATTCAGCACAGACCATAGCCAGCTTGTGGTCTGCAGCTAATACACAGACACCTCCTCAGCAAGGCAGAAGGGAGGGGGGATTCCTGTTTAGCAGGGACTGGTGAGGGGTAGGGAAGGGAGCAGACTGCAGTCTCTAGCTGCAGCCAGGAAGCAGAGAGGAGGGGCCAGCCCTGCTGCAGAGCAGAGAGCCCTGCCCAGCCCACAAAGAATGCCAGGATGCTGTGGGAGTCTGATTTAATTTAAACCAGCAAGGGGTCTGGGACAGACATTACATAAACTGGTTTGAGCCAAATCAGTTAAATCTGATACTACATTCAACCAGCTTTATCTCAAACTAGTTTCAGCCATATTCCAACTGGCTTATGTGCACTAAATGTCTGTTCTGTTACAGTTTAAACCAGTTTCTGATCACTTAAACTGGTTTGTGTGTGTCAGGTATTGCAGTCCCTTGCAGACCTGTAGGATGCCGCCTGCCACTTGATGAAGATGTTATTGTTTCTAATTGATGATCTACACACCCACATTTCTCCGGCCACGACTTGATGTTAACGGAGTTGGTTCATTACCTGCATGTGTAGTCCAATTAGTAGTCTCACCGTTGTCCTGCAGGGTCATGCGTTCCTGAGGGCTCCGCCACCCCTACACCCTCGCCCGTTCCACCGGGGTCTGACCAGCCAGTTGGTCCTGCCACGTGTCCTTGGTGCCAGGCAAGCAACCAACAAAAGACCAAAAAAAGAAAACAAGAAAACAGAGAAGGCTCTCCTGGCCTGTGTCACTGTTCCTGCTATTTGCAGACAATATCTAAACCAAAATTGACCTTCATGCGGTCAGTCCCTCCTTGGCTCTCTCTCTCTCTCAGAGCCTCTTGTAGAGGCTGCCACAACTTCTTTTAGCACCTTGAGTCCATCTATAACCCTATCTTATTGGCTTTTGCCACTTTTACATGTATTACGGTACCATGAAAGTCTATAGTGCCCCTCTATTAGGGTTATTACAGTACCACTCTCCCTGCCGGGCTCCGCCAGCTCCTGGCGCGTAAACAAACAGTTCTGCACCCCTGCAGAGTCAGTAGGCTTGGCTCTCAGTCCCCGCTGTCGGTTTTACTCTCTGCAAGAGTCTCCTACCAGCACTCCATGTTGCCTTCAGAGTTCCCTGCAGCATGTGCTGGCTTGCTCCTCCTCCTCCTCCTCCTCTTTCCGGTTCTGCGCTCCTCCTGCTTCCCTGTCCTGGGTTCTTCTTTATACCCGCACGGGAGTTCTCTGCTCCTCCCCTCCCGAAACACCTGGGTAAGGGAGATTTCTGCCATGTGCTTTGGAGCCCGGTGGCTCCTCTCTCTCACAATTTGTAATGTCTGTCCCTAGCCTGTAGGGCTGGTGACCAAGGGCATGGCTAAGAGCCAGGATACCTGTGCAGGGGGGAGGGAGGCTGTGAGCAGTACATCCTGGGATGCTTGGACTACTGCAAATTGCTCATTTTATCTCCATGGAGCAGACTGAAATTATTAATTAACACAAGAAAACCCTCACTTGAAGTGGCATAACTTTTGAGATGTTCAGAGGACATTTAATGTACCATTCACTTAAGAATGAGTGGGGAGGGTTCTAGACAGAAGCTCTTCAGTGAAGCTGAGTAGACAGAGGAGCTTTAGGGATGAATCTGTTTTCTATGTTCTAATAATTCTTTTGCTCAGCATTATAACAAAGTGACTTTCTGTGAATATTTATCATTGTCACGTGAAATGTGTTTAATCTTTCTGATGGGCAGGGGAAGAGCAGAAGCAGGGCCAATACTTCACTATGTTGATTCATTCATTATTGCAATTTATATAGTTAGGTCACAGTCATGGCAGGATTGTATAGCTCCAGTTTTGGTCACTCCTGGACCTATGTGGAAAAACCAGCACTTAGACCTGCTACTTAGTCTTGGATTGAAGACTTGATCCTATTTTGGCAAAACTCACATTGACTGCAATGGGAACAGCCCCTCAAATGAAGTATTTTAGGACCATAGAAAATTAGATCATCACTAAGGACATCCAATTCTAATATAATGAAGGGCTTAGTCTGCCTGTCTGTAATGCTCTTGGAGCACTCTGATTTGTTACTGAAACAGCCAATCAGAGTGCTCCAAGAGTGTTCTGGACATAAGGTGGCAGCGGCGGAGATAGAGCAGACAGTGTGGGGGGGGGGCAAGGCCAGTACCACTGGCCTTGACCCTCTCCGACTCTCTGGAGGCAGTGGTGGCATGGGCTGCTGGCCAAGGGGGATGGAAGAGATGGTGTGGCAAGCTTCTCTTCCCCTATCCCCTGCTTCTGGGTGGCAGTGGCGGAGCTCCATCGCTGCCCACCCCCTCCCCCTGTCATTCCTGACAGGCAATTGGCTAGTAAAAATAATACTATTTTGAGCTTTGCCATGCTTCTTTTGATTGTTCCATTGATGTTCATGAGGCCTCATCTTCTGTCCTTTGCTCTCAGATATTGTCTGCTGGGTGCTCTGGGAAGATTAAACAACTAATTGACTTACTTTACTTTAGCTCATTTTAAAGTTGCAGGAGAATTCCAACTTTTTTCCCCCTTTATCTAATTAAACTACCTGGGCAGGGCCATAAAATGAAAGTCTATTTAGCAAGGGAATGAAACAAAAGACAGAAAAGATAAAACATGAAAAAGGCAAGGGATTCAAATGTGGGAAGGAGTGCATGCCTCACAAGCTGAAGTGGTAGCTGAGAAGATACCGTGTTTCCTGGAAGCCCCAAGAGGAATTCTGTTCAAGTCAGTGTGACCCTTTCTGTATGGGCTGAGTCATAGAACCATAGAAAAATATGGCTGGAAGGGACCTCAGGAGATCATTTAGTCCAACCTCCTGCTTAAGGCAGGATCAGCCCTGTCTAAACCATCTCAATCAAGGGTTTATCTAATCTGGTCTTAAAATTGTCCAAGGATGGAGATTCTATAACGTCTCTAGGTACCCCGTTTAACCACCATATGCTTAACTACTCTCATAGATAGGAAGTTCATCCTAACCTACATTTCTCTTGCCTAAAGTAAAGGCCATCACTTCTTCTGCTTCTGTCCCCTATGTTGCAAAGAAATTTAGAAAGAACATCACCATTCTTTTTATAATTATCTTTTAGGTATTTGTAGACGATTACAAATTCCACTCAGTTTTCTGTTCCCTAAACTCAATACTCTTGTTCTTCCAACTTTGTTTCATAAGTCATGTTTCTTAGACATCAGTTTTGTTGGTCTCTGCTGGATTCTGTAATTTGTCCACGTCTTTCTTGAAGCGTGGCACCCTAAGCTGAAGACAGTGCTCCAAAAGATGCCTCATCAGAGCTGAATGTAGTGGAAGAATCATCTTCTTTCACTTACAAGTGTTACTTTTTTTAATCAACCTGGAACACTACTGGATTGTTTTGCAGTAAGGGTAAACTGTTGACTCGTATTCGGTTTACGGTCTTTAAAACCCAACCAGCATAGCAATCTGTTACTTCAACGGCATCTTTTTTCAGGTATATATGAAAAGCCTGATTAGCTAGGAATCTTTAGAAACCCCTACAGTTTTAATCTCAAATGAATTATTTTGGTGCTTATTCCAAGTCAAAATGTAAAACATTACACGTTGATCAATCTTTTTGATTTGGATAGATCTCCAAGTCTTCTTTTATGGTGCTGACAAAAATGCAAATGGATACCTCACATTCAGTGAGATGGAAAAGGTCCTGGGAGAAGACACACCTCAGAGAGAGGAACTTCAAGAATTTGACAATGATAAAAATAGCATGTACTCATACCTTGAACTAAAAAAAGCCCTTGAACTGGCAGGTAAAGACTAAAAAAAATGTACTAGATTTATTTATTTTTAACTATTTCTTTCCCCTGCCTATCCATAGGTGCTGCTTCTTTCTGGAAAACAAAGTTAAGGTTTGGCTGTGCTTGGAAATGTACTAACATAGCTATTGTGGAATGGGGGGAGATGGGGGCAATATTGTAATGTCCTCAGATGGAGTGTGGCAGTGGTATATTTCATAGTGCTGGCAGCATAAGTGACTGCCAAGTGACTCTGAGCTGCATTTTGAACTGGACTGTATAAATAATGAGAAAGATCTAATATGAGAACAAAAGGCCATGAACTGAATTTGAGTAGACTACTGAACATGTAAGCAAATCATCAAAGACAAGGCTGAAAATTAAGTAGTGGACATCAGTTCAAGAGGGAAGTGAGTAGATCTTAGAAACTGAAATGAAGACAGGTTCATGAATGTGTTGTTTGAGTTTTTCATGGCCGTAATAAAACAAGCATTGTAGAAAATATTAGATTAGCATTAGATTGCCCGGAAAAAAACCCAACTGTTTAGGTACCTGCAAAAACACGAAGGTGAGAACAGAGTAGATATCCAAAAATAATTATACTCATAAGGAGGAAAGATAACTGCATACTTACTCTTTGTTTTTGATTCCCCTCCCCATCTTAAAAGCTGACCCCTGTCAGAATTTAATTGTTTTATTAACTGAAACATAAGAGAATTGACATTAAATAAAATAAATATCATGCTCCAAGTAGCCTCATTATGCCTGATAGATGCATATGTAGCTTGCCAATTTTTGTTCTTATTTCTTACAACATACCAACATGTTTTAGTCATGCAAATCTCTCTTTGGTGTTGCCTATGGCACAGTTCATACATCTGTTTATTATTATCCTCCAAGCCAAATTTCTCAAATTCACATTGAACAGGACTTGTAAATAGGAATTGCTTCATAATGGGCACCCAAAACACATATTATAAGAAGTTTAATCTTCGCCAAATGTTAGTAGTTTCTTTGTATTACCTAATTGTTCTACGTAATCACCTTAGTCACGAGGCGAATGTCTGTGAAGATTAAAAACATTCTCAGCAGCTACATTTAGCCCTGCTCACTTTAAGAAAACTTATCATTTAAGCTTCTTTTTTCTAAAGGTACTAAGATGTGGATCCATCTAACAGTGAATCTCTTTTCATTACAGAATAACTGAGAAAACTAAATGCAAGGTGGAGAGATGCAAGCAATGTTCTGAATTTTTTTTAAAAGTTTTATATAGGAAAGAAAATCACATGCAGTTCTATTTGTTCATGTTTCTTCAAATGGGATATATTAATGGTGTAAAGATAAAAGGATCATCCTTAAATATGTATTCCCTATTTACCACAGTAGTCAGTTACTATAGAATAGCCAGTGGAGAGAAACTGCAAATGTTTAACTGTCCTTATAATTATTAACATTTTAATCAAATATTAATATGAATAAATGAATTTTGTTTTGCTGTACATAAGAGAAATTGGAAGGACAAAAATATTAGTGGTTAAATTTGATTTAGAAACCTTTGACTTACTATTAAAACTGTTTTGCAATGTGGGGTTTTTTCTTTAATTCCACTTTCTCATTATAGTATGTAATTACTGTTGCAGTTTTTTTAAAGCTCTGGCATACAGTTAATGCTGATTACTTATTCTCTGCCCTATTACATCATGTAGTAGTACATACATGACATAACAAAAAGTTAAATCTTCTCATTGGCATCCAAAGGATAGATTTGTAGCAAAAAATGCTCTATAGAATATTTGTATTTCAGATGTCATCTGTGGCTTCACATGCTGGTACATTTCAAATGACAACTTTATGTTCCTCTGTACCCAGGGATGTTTTAGAGGGGATTCTCAGATTTTTGTGAGATCCTGGTTAAAATTCTGTCATTATCAAATTATAAGGTTGTAGAATCACAAAGAAATAGGGCTAGAAGTCTCCTTAAAGAGTCATTTAGTTCAATTTTCTGCTCAAGGCAATACCTACTCTTAAAATGCTGTTGAACCCCAATTCATGTTGCTCCCAAAAGATCTCTAATGGGAAGTTTAACTTGGCCCACTTCAGTGTTTTATAATATGATTCCTACATAATTATATTTTATATAGGCATGGGATGCAATGCCCTTTCCACATAACACAGCCTACTTTTTAGAACTGTATGAATATAATAGTATTTTAATAGTATTGTGTTACACTTAGATTCATACAATTCTAAAAAATAAGCCATGTTATATGGAAATGTGTAGTATTCCTTAAATGAAACATGGGTTGGGCAACCAACTGCCATCCAAGGCAGAAGACTAGCTACCACGTTAAGTATATTTCCTCCTGTATATAACTAGCAGAGTCACTGAAGAACCATAAAATCAGGTGCTCAGAATATTACTGACATTTTTCCCCAAGGCTTTCTGGAAGCACTTTTTTTAAATTTATGAAAGCTGTTCCTTGGACCCATGCAAATTACTAGAATGAAGCAAGTCCAAAGACTGGCCTTCTGACATGTCTCAGTGTCATAACAGAATCAAGTAATATTTTGTTCCTTACAGATTTAGATGTCTGTAAAAAAAACAAAAACAAATTCAGGACTCATTTATGCCTACACATACACACAGAAATCTTAGAGTTGGACTTGACAACATAGAAAATAGCTGGAGGACTACTTATTATCTGCACTACTGAATACTTGTTGCAAATCAGGCCTGATTTACATCCTTAGCAATCTCATAGAAATCAATGGCAGGTCACAGCACAATGTAATCCCTAATATAAAACATTACAAACCAATGGGATTACAGGCATAGAAATCCTTGCATTCAAATGAAGTTTCAAGATTGTGGCAGAGGTGTCCAAACCTGCAAGTAACTGAACACATCCAAGAACAGTGGTTCTCATTCTTTCCAAGCTTTCTTACAAGACCAGCTTTGCTAATAGATGTACTATGAAGCTCTTAACTTGTCAATCCCATGACACCTAGTTGGAGAACCACTGCTCTAGAAAGTTCAGTGCTCTCAATTGCCATAAACGTTATGCTTGAATTGAGAAGGATAGTACATTCCCTATACAGTAGATGGACTTGGCAGGTTCATTGCTCTTCTGAGGCTATCACGAGTGTTATCTCCATTATAGGTTCAGGGAATACTGCTGCAATCAATGTTTTCTAAAATAGGGGGACAAAAAGCTTTCTGGGTCAAGATACTGGGTACATGGGAAATAACACACTCAGCAACTGACAGGAAATCATGATGGTGATTTATGCCCTGCCCTACCCACAAAAGGCTTGGAGTGGCTTACAAGCAGATGAACAAACCACCAGATAAAAAAAAGACATCAGACTCCCCAGTTGGTACCCCTAAAACTTTAAAGCACCCCACCCCATTCACTCCCTCCCATTTCCTTGCATAATGCCCAGGAAAACAAACCCTATGCCACATCCCAACTGTACTTTCCAACCCTTCATTCACACAAAACCTCTTTACACCCCCTCCTTCCCCACCTGCTCACTCATTCCCACTCTCCTGCTTCACACCCAGGGGAGATGAGCATGTCTCCCAAGCCCATACTCCCCCCTCCCCCCATAGAGGGTCTGAAATTTGGATCATGATACTATACAGAAAACAACCATTCAAATAAAGAATACTTATCTAGAAAATTTGCATACATGTACTCAGGAACCCTTTTTAATGTAGTCTATTTGTTTCAAACAAATTTAAATGAAGTCTATTTGCTTTAAACATTACTGCTGATAATAGCAATTATAATAGTAATACCTGCCATAATGGTCAATCAAAAGAGAAAAAAAGATAATGGTTCTTGGGTTGCCAGCTCCCAATTAATTAATTAATTAATATAAATTGTATGTCCAAATATCAAAACCAGGCTAATGTACAATTCAGACATATTATGTGCCTGAGGGTTTTTTTTTTACTTTTGTAAAATTTTAAAACAAGTAGAAGTGCAAAGTTGTCTTTTCCCTAAATGTAATACAGATTTAATATCGGTTTTTTCCTAAAATCTAAGGGATAGTTTCCAAACAGTCACAGGTTAAGCAGATGATTCAGTCTAGGATCTACTTGATGTATATACATTCCTGTAAAGCTAAGATTTTCAAAGGCACTGAAAGGCCTAAATAATTGCAAATCATTACAAAACATACTCATGGAATATTTGACCTGCATTTGTACTTCCAACCAGCTATCGAGTAAAAGGTAGGTTCTTCTTTATATAGATATTTAGAATGTGGCCAAATGTGGGAACATCTGAAATCCCTCTTAAAGCCCATATGAAGCTGGCAACTGACTTGATGAAAACTCAAATGCAAACCTATGGGAATATAGGATTACATCAAATACACAAATACAAGATGATCAGGATAGGTACTGTCTGTGCTTAAAAAGGAGATTATTGCTTAAGTGGGGAACAACACTAAAATTTGGAATGACTTTTTTCAAATGCCTCTTCTTGACATCGAAGGTGCCAAGTCTACTCAGCTCAATCCTGAAGTATATGGCAGTTGGGGGCACCTTGGACCACATCCAAATCATCATAGTATCATTGTGCCTAATCCAGAAAGAGCAATCCAGGTCAATCCTGTTCCAAAACCACAAAGCTCCTTAGGCATGTAGATTTTAGCTGAAAAAATACTGAGACACCTAGACTTGGCTATTGTGTATGGTCTCATGTTCAGTGGCTTCTAAAATCCATCTAATTGCCCAATTCCTTAAGTGGCCATAGACCATTCCTAGGAAGTACTTGATCCTGAGAGCGTGCACATAGTTCATTACAAAATATAGCTAGTATTGTCCACTAGATCTAATACCCTAGTGGTTAGAGCACTCAGGAAGAGGGAGGCCTGAGTTTGAAGCCCAGCCTAGTGGTTATATCACTCCCCTGAGGAGTCTATGGTTCTGAAAAGACTTTTTTTTTTTAGCAATTGACAGTATAATTAACATGTATAAAGAGTTCTGGCAGAAAGGATTTGAACCTACATTTCACCACCTTCTGAGCACTGTGCTATAACCAGCAAACAGCAGGTTAGGCATTATCCAGTATTCCTTCTGAAGCTGGATCCTTGAACTGCCAAGACAAGGAGATATGTAGAGCCAGGGGCAAGGGAACAAAAGCAGACCTCAGTGAGTTGAATGCTGCTTTGGAGGTAAAGAGGACCCTGGATTCTAATCAGGATCCTTGCACCCCATGGGGCAAAACTGCTCTCCACCCATAGCATCCACTGAATATTATTATGCATTGGTTCAGCTTCAAGAAGAGGACTGCAGAGGGGACTAGATAATGCTTAACCTTTGGCTTTGTGGTCTTGGGCTAAAACATGGGAGAGCCCTCCTCCTCCAGCACTTAACATTGTGGTTTTTGTTGGGTATAATTTTGTGATTTCTACTTGCCTAGGACATGGTCACATAAAACCATACACCTTCCAAGCCACAGCACAGCCTAGTGCACATACTTCCACACAATGTGTTAGTGCCAAAACTAGCAGTTATGTAACTCTATAACTGCCATTTATGCATGTAAAGGAAAAAATAATTCTGTTCTTAGTTATTTATACCTGCACAAGAAAACATAACAGGTTACCAAATAAAAATTTTCCTCAGTCTAATGGAAAGTGAGTGTGAAATGTATTTAACTACTTCTATGGCTATACATGACTACTCAATGTTCAAGCAAGTAGAAAATTCAAGCCTTCTGTACTTAAAACCATCAGCATCCCAGCAATATCTGTATTTTACTAATTCTATAATTTAAGTGTCCTATTGAATGCCAAAGACAAGCTAAAAAGCAACCTTTCTAAAAGCAGTTTGGTATAAAAATGCATAATATATGTATATTTCCACAATATACTAAATTAGAATAGGCTCATACATAAAAGCTTTGCTATTTAGAAATCACATATTTGATCTAATATTCTGTATGTTTGTTAGTATTCTCTAGAGATGCCCAGATATAACCACTTACAGATAGGGGTGCACAGATATAGATTTTTGGGGCTGATACCGATAGCAGATTTTTAAGAAGGCATATCAGCCAATACCATATCTGATTTCCAATACAATATCTGATTTCCCATATGCAGCTGGGCAGCTTGAAGAGCTGCATGCAGCTTGTAAGTCTGTTGTAGTGGAAGGGAAGGGGGAAGGGAGGGGGCGTGGGGAAGATTGAGGTCCCTGTGGTAAGGGAGGGACTGGGCTAGGGCAGGTGCTGCCTAGCTGGGGAGAGGCAGGGCATGGGAAGGAGCTGCAGCTTATGTGGGGAGGGCACAGGGGTGGCTCTTGCTACTGCATGCACCCCAAGAAGGCATGGGGGAGAGGGGGCATGTGCCACCTGGATCTCCGTGGGGCAGGCTGCAGCTGTGGTCTGGGGCCAGAGTGGTGCCGGGCTCTTCTCGGCGGTGGGCAATGGCAACACTGGGAGGGGGGATTAGGGGAGCTGCAGCTACCTCAATTTTCACCATAGCCCCCCTCAACCCACTTTCCCAGTGCCACCTGCTCTGAGCACACCCCAACCTAGCCCCTGCTGGGAAGAGCCTGGCACAGCTCTGGTCCCAACCCACAGTGGCAGCCACACTGCCCTTCACAGATCCAAGGGCACATGCCCCCCATGTCCTTCTGGGGTGTGCGCAGTGGCAGGAGCCGCCCCTCCCGCACCCCCTGGATGAGCCACTGCTCCATCCTGCACCCTGCCCCACCCCAACTGGGCAGTGCCTGAGCCCCGCTCCCTCCTTCACCACAGGGGCCTTGATCTGTGTCCCCATGCCCCTTCCCTCCCCCTTCCCCTTCCACCACACCAGACCTACCAGCTGGACGCAGTTCTCCAAGCTGCCAGGCTGTGCTCCTCACAACCTACATACTGTGCTGCGGCTGCGTGCATGCACTAGCCATTTATTGGCCAAATTATCGGCCATATCAAGTCGATTTCCAGTACAGACAATTTTGTTTATATCGGTGCTGATCTGGTATCAGACCAATGTATCAGTTTACCTATACTTACAGACATTGCTTCACAAAAAACAGCTTATTGTGAACTGTATTTTATTGGAGAGTTAAGTATTAACTGTTAGAAAATCTTAAGCTCCCACACTTTTTAATCTGGCAAGGGATTGAGTGGAAGTCACTGCTATAATCTTTGTCAACAATGCTTTCACTAAAAAGAATAAAAGGACCACAAAATATAACAATATTTGGTTTCAAAGCAAACTATGTGAGAGAGAAAAAGAGCATATACTGTATGGTACAACATATGCATAGTTAAACATATGTATATATACACCCACATATTTTGTGTTGGTTAAAGTGCATAAACAAAAATATCACACATTGAATAAAAATGTACTTGCAACAACAGATTTTCTCTATTAAATCCATGTTTATTGCTTAAGTTTTATCACAGTGGAGATTAAATTATGCTTAATCATCCGGTCAGTGCTTTTGTACCTTCTTCAATGCCAAAAAACATTAAAACCAACCCATTCATACACTCTAAGTCCTGTTAACATTCCACCACTCATTGCCTCTATATGTTCCTTTAGTTGCCACATACTGATAGGATTGTAAAAAAATATAACTAACGGGCTTATTTATAATACCATATTCTTCAAGTATTCAGAAAGCAGTACAAATATCTGTACTGTACATTAGAAACATATTTGTAATGTTATTTATTGCTATAGGATAGAGGCTCCCGATGGAATGATAATGAAGTATTACATCACTGTGTATGAAGATGATCTCAGCCTTCTGTAATTATCACAACTTCTCCCATGTTAGTGAACAACACTAGATAAATGGGTATTTTTCTTTTCTCTTCCAGACATGGGATTTCAAACTACAAATAAATAAAGCATACACTCACAACATGTGTAGTGCAAATTCCAAGTAAACAGAATGACATGGAAATAAGCTCATAGTTGCCAACTTTGGTTCAGCAGGGCAGTTATGATTTTATGCCCATTGCTCTGCATCGCCACCCTCAATTTGAAAACGATAGAAGTCCCATGTCAGCTACAATGATTGAAAGAGATTGTTGTGGGGAGGGACCATAGCGGGGAAAGGAAGAGGCAATCTCTGTGAACTTTATGCTCAGTTTGCTAGGTTTAATGTCATGCATGATATCAAACCTCTAAGTATAGATTGGTTACCAACCCAGAGAATAGCTTCCATCCCACTTTCAGAGAATTATATGTTGGCAACTATGTAACATGGATTGTGTGGCCCAGACCAGTATAAGGTAATATTTTTTCCAGTTTTAACTATTGAAAGAGAACATCGATAACATTGTGATTTAGAAAAAACTTAATAATAGCATAATAATAATTCATAGGAAAGACATTCAACTTTTTTTTTCAACAAACCCCAAATAATGGTTTGATTCTGAATTACTCCAAGGCTGAAGTAAAACCTTCTAGACTGAGCTCAAGGCCAATATTTTTATGTTTTATGAATTAATTATATATTTCTTAATTATAATTTTACCCACATAGGCATATTATTCATGGGGGGAAAAGCACAAAAGCTTAAATTGCATTTTTTTATGGAGAGCATAAATAATTTAGGCAACACAAAAAAATGTAAATAAATACGAAATGACAACTTGTTGTATGCTCTCTCATCCTTTTCTCTAAAGCTCAGTCAGAGAAGAGAGGTCTAGTAGAGAAAAAAAATGCAATTTTTACCATTTTTCTTCAGTGCTCATTTTTGAGAGTGTTCTTTTCTATGGCTGCTTTCTCAATCTGCAACTTGTTAATTGCTGTGTGTCAACCACTGGTAAAAATTACTTTATTTAAACATCATTCTTATAAACATGCCAAACTTTCAACCAATATAACACAGAGCTAGCTCTAAAATACGTTAAGCTAACAGATGGATATATTACAAAAAAGGAAAACTTTGCGCGTAAAAAAGAAACTTTTCCTTATCTGGGACACACACATTCAGATATAAAAACTGAGAAATCATAAATATGGTCATTGAATTACTTTGGAGAATTAAGGCTTCTAAAAACATCAGTGCCAAAATAACCTCTCTGCATCAGTATTAAGAATATAATACATTTTCTATTTTAGGTTGTGCTTTTTTTTTGTTTTAAGACTTTTCTTAGTTCTGTAGAATTCCATCACATAAGATTACATGTTGTAGGGGAGTGTTAGAACTGTTTATTGAGGTTTTATTTTAAGTAGTTGTTAGACTAAGTTACAGCGATAAAATTCAATTATGGATCTGATTCGTTATTACTGTACATAGACGGTTGGCTCATTTCACCTTTTTTTCATGTTTAATGTGGCCATTTCTTCTATATTTGCCATTTAGGATCCCATTTTGGTAATGTCCATTAATGGTGCTATGTTCATCACGTGACCAAAGATGTTTGCTCTTTTTGCGAATAAACTTTGCAATCCTGGCCAAAATGTAATAAAATAAGGCAGCACCAAATAATACAACAAAGGTGATATCCAGTAAGAAATACTGATACGAAGACAGGCTATAAACAGCCGCACGCAGATGCTGTGCTCCGTTGTGGCGGAGAATGTAGTTAATCCAGTAAACTGTCCGATTAACAGGATGCCCAGGTTGGTCTCTGTGAATTTCAGACAGCTTCTTGGCCCGTTGTTTGTAGCTGTGTGGGAAAGAGACAAATCAAGTGACAAATTCAAAAAATCAAGCTAGAACATTACCTAGCTTTCAGTCTTAAATGTCCCCATAGCTGTTTGAACATATCTGAACAGCATGGGACATTTTTGTGTAAGTCATATAACTGAGAATGACAAAGAATAGCAGTTGCAGCTGTTTCAGGAGCCCTCATACATCATGGTAAATCCTCTTCAAGGTAACAGTAAAAAGCATGAAAAAAATGGATATTAAAAATGCATGTGCATGCACTGATATAGCTATGTTTACCTCTATGAAGAGGGTTTTAAAATGATACACAGGTCTTGTGCTGGCCTGCAGCATGGGCTAAATTTCATACTGACTATTAAGTGCGTCACACTGGAGATGTTTATCCCTCCCTCTGTAAGTCAACACATAAAAATAAACCTTTTCTTATCTAGGATACACATACAGGAGACCCTCACCATTCGTAGGGGATACATTCTTACAGCGAAATCCGTGAAAGGGCACTGCATTCATGAATGCAGTGCCCTCAGAGCGGGGGGGAAGGACACGGCTCCAGTGGCAATGGTGGGAGCCCGGCACTGGCAGAAGGAGCCTGCTGGTAGCAAGCACAGAGCTCCCGCTGGAAGTATATAAGGTGTATTTAAAATGTGGGTTCAGCATTCAGGAATATTTGAAACCCCAAATGCCAAACCCACGAATAACAAGGGTTTCCTGTATTCAGGTGCAATACACTGTTCATTTATACTCCTGTAGAGACATACTCTTGTAAAGTGATATTTCACTATCTCTAATGTAGTTTGAACAGAACAGCTTTTTATATAATATAATAACAAATCTTTCCATTTGGGACATGGATGCCAACTTTTAGTTTTTAAGGAAAAGAACATCCCAGTCACCTGATCATAGGAGACTTCTTTCTGCTTTCTGTTGCAGAACAAGGATATTACTAATAGGACTTTTATTCTTTTAGGATAGAACAAAACTATGACCAAATAAATTAGTTGATAGTAACAAGATTTTAATTAAAGGGAAAAATAGCTGGGGAATTTTATGATCCACAATCTGAGGCAAGAAGTCAAAGATTCCCCACAAACCTTGTCCCATCAATTCAGTAAACCCTACTCCGGTGTGCTCTAAAAACTCCTATAGTATAATGCCCTAGACAACCAGCTGCAACATTCAGCTACTTAATTTAGAGAGATTATGTACTACAAATGACAAGGCTGATTTTGGACTATGATCTAAAATACAACCACTCCTTCTCTAACACTTTAATATTATTGAACACTGTTGAACAGGAGGCATTTAGTACTTCTCTACTCTGATTTTCCTTATATTAGCTATGGTGTAAACCCAAGAATGCTCCCTAAGAACACGAATTATTACCCATGGCAGTGCTGTTGTGAGGCAGATGATATTAATCACACAGTCAAAGGCTACACAGGCAAGCTGCTTTTGTTCACTGACAGCTGACAGTAATTTATTATCAGAAATTGTAACTTCTCCAAGGTCCTTTCTCCAAGCCCACACACTGGTGTAACTTCCTTTACTACAAGATCATGACAGAAGCCACATGCTTTGAGTTCAAGTCTCACTATCTGTCACATATAAAGTTTCTAAAATCTATAAGAACAACATTTCTACATTCTTCCGTGACTAGGGAGCCATCAGGCCCCTTTACCTCATCCCCATTATTGGTAAATCTTCAGACAATGCAGCAGAGAGAGACTAGGTCTGATTCAGCCAATGAATCTTACAATGTTGGTCTATAAAACTCAATAGGAACAACACATTCCCTCCATGCACAAGAAAACAGAGCAGGCTTTGGCTACTATATCACATTCATGTCACCCTGATATTTTACCTATATCTAGGTCAGGTAATCGTATCATTGGATCCTAGGTATTTTGCCCTTCATGTTCATACTAAATAGTGCATTACCTGTCAGACTATTCAGTCTCCAACCTGCCAATGCTGAAAGCTCTTTCTGTCATTGCATGCCCCAGAGTAGATACCTTATCCAGAGTGTTATTGCCAGATTTAGAGGAAAATTCAACTAATTAGCCTTATCCTGTAACTACCAGGTAAACAAGAACTCCAGATACTAGACCAAGATGGGCAGAAGGAAGTGATTAATATCTGCATATGAAAAAATGACCACAACATGAGGTCCAGCCATGCTATCATGAAATCCAATTCATAAATCAAAACTTTTGCTGAATTCTGATGCACACTTGAGCCCACAGATTCATAATCTTTTGTTGTGATACAGACAAACCTCCATAACACACCTAGCCCAGCCAAGATAAATTACCTGTTAGGATGGGCGGGGGAACAAAAACCAAAATAAAACCCATAAAACCAAGCTACTGGATTTAAAGACAAGATGGGCAGAGTCCTTCTTCATATCTATTTTTTTTATTTATAGCATGGGACTAATAAACTTTAAAATGTGAATATTCCAGCTGATGGGGAGGTTTGACCCCAGGAGATGCTGGGATCAAAAAACCCCACACCTAAAAAAAGTGGGGCGGTGCACATGGCGGCAATGCGTGCCACCCAAAACCAGAGCTTGGCCAGCTGAAGCCATACTCTGGCAGCTAGCCAGGCTCCCTGCTACAGGAGTGCTGCAGCTGCAGCTCCCAGAGGACCCCAAGTAAGGCTGCTGGGGCCAGCACAGTTGCTGGCCTCAGCCTCCCTTACCCCACCTGGGGCACAGTGTACCATTGCTACTTGTCCCTGGGGAAACACACATTCCCACTTGTGGGGACGCACCAAAAGACTGTATTATTTGTACTCAATTGTGCATACAAATCTTGATTTGCATAAATATTTTAATGCACAAATATATTTTTGTAAACATTTAACACACAGTTACAAAATAGAGAAAAACAATTCCATACCTGGGATCATTAATGACTTTCACAAGAGCTTCATACAATTCACCCTCAGTAATTGTCTTCCAGTTTAATAATATTCCCATGCCTTTGGCCTGCACCCGGGTCATAGTATCATAATGGTCTCCAAAAAGGGGAATTCCTACCACAGGCACTCCGTGGTACATGGTTTCAAAAATACTGTTCAAACCACCATGACTAAGGAAGGCTTTAATGTTAGCATGACCTAAATAGGAGAACAGTGAGGTAAAGGAAAGAAAATGCTTTACATACATGAGTATATTATAGTCGTTGAAGCTAGAAATGTAAAAGGCCAATTACTTCATTCAGCTTCAGCTAATCTAATGTGAAAACCAACAGGAAATATTTTACTAAATATATCCTGACAAGTGTCAACTTTCCATTGCTTTGATTAAAGAAGGTATATTTAGTTGCTCAAACTAGGTAAACATATACTTAACCATCTTCTTAAATCAAGGTCACAAGTATTTTGTAATACATGTTCTCTATTATCTCATAATCTAATATACAAGATAAGGTATATCAACAATGCAAAAATATCATTTTACATTAGTGGTTAAAAATAACTGATATAAAGCATCTACTGTTGGCTGGCTAGTGTTGATTACTACCATTGGTACACCATTTTAAATACATTGGGGATACTATTTTTACTCCTAACGACTCTTAGAAATTTAATGACACCACTGTGGACTCTTCTTTTCTCTTATGGGGCTTGCTTTGGGATGGCATGGTCTAACTGTAATATTATTTTATCAAATGGTGCCAAGCTCTAGTAGTAAAGCCAGACTCAACCCCATATTAGTCAATTAATTTCCGCACATTTTAAATGCAGATAGCTAAGTCACTAGAAATATGAGCAGGGAACTGCCTAACCAACAGGAATGCTGAAGAGGCAGACTTTTCAAAAATCCTGCTTCTGGTTCAGACATTCAGGGCGTGTCTACATGTTGCCCTACAGTGACATAGCAACATGATATGTCACCATACGGTGAGCTACAGCAACTTAGCCATCACATGTATAGCGCGCTGCTAGGGCGATCTAGTGGCAAAATCTACCCAGGCGCCATGTACATGGTGCAATTACTGCCTGTTCTGCACCATGCTTTAGTATTTCCAAAACGACGTACTAAAGTGCAGCAACATGTAGATGTGCCAACAGTGTCCTACTTGCAGTCTTGAGTTTAATGTCTATATGGAATTAGGAACCTACGTTTTCCCTTCATGTGTGGATATTTGAGTGACTGACTCTTTTCTTTAAATGAATGGCTGGTGATGGTGTTACCTGGTCTTACAGAACAGCCTAGATGTTAGAACATGATCCAAAAAATGGGCTGGAGGCCATTCTCAGCCTGATCAAGGATGGTGTGTCATAACCACCACACTCTAGGACAGGCTGGGTGGTACACTCTTGACCCCCCACTCTCACCTCTATTTAAGGTAAACTACTGGACAGACAAGATTTCCAGTGTTATAGGGCTAGGAAGACAGCAAGCAAGACTGTAAGAAAATCTACTTTCCAGTCACTGATGCAGGGTTATAACCAATGACTGCCTAATGCAAAAATGTATATGCCATCCTGGAATCAGGGACTGGAACCCAGGACTTCACCTTCCCAAAAAGATGCTTCATCCTGGTATTTTAAATAACTGATTTTACAGTAAAATAGTGTTAAGCGTCTGAACTGTACACATCCTGACTAAAAAGATTCAGCTACTCCACTGCGTACTCACCAAGGAGGTCATTTTGCGGTAGCCATTCTATAAGTTTTGTATTGTTTCCTAAGTTCTTCGGTTTGTTTCCTGAAAACCTAAATTAGACATGAGGCAGAATTATTTCAAAATGAATTCTCAAAACTCTGAAATTGATAGTCTTGAAACATACCATCAAATTAACTGGTCCCTGATTTTTTAATAGATCTTCACCCCATGTAGACAGGACTTAATTCAATTTTCATATAATGTAAATATCTCAGCCACACAGCTGAAATACTGTAAAGTAACTGTCCAAAAACTACAGAATGATTCCTTAATTACTCAATTTTCCTGTACTATAGTTGGCAGTGTGTGTGCGTATGCATGCGTGTGTGTAGTTCTTTTGCAAAACTGGTGTAATATACAAATCCTTCTATTCTGATTGGCTGAAGTCTATTCTTAAGCAGAGCGGGACATTTCCCTAGCTCCACTATAAGCATTCTCTGATTACTACTATCATTTATATTCTTTTACTAAGAACTCCTGAATCAGCATGTCAACAGCCAACAGGTAGCTCAACATTTGAGGATCTCTCAGCTTTTCAATTTAACCTATCTCCTGATACTAATTTAATTTGAAAAGGAAATGCTGTTAAAAGGTAGGAGAAGAGCATAAGCTAAGTCAGCTAATTAGAAAAGATACTAGTAAAGACACTAGGGGGAATCATAATTTCAGGCAGCCATGTTTGCAGTGAATACTGCTTTCAAAGGAGCTGGAGGTTGTTAGGTACATAACTCCCTTTGAAACCCCAACTCAGTTGGGTTACAGTTCTAGTCTGTAGGAATATATATAATGAGTCTTGAAAATGTTTAAAGATTTATGGAAGTCACACCCATTTAACAGGAGAGATGGACTCAGGACTGCACGATAAGTATGTGAAGGTGTCCTCAGTTAATTTGGTAACAACCATGTAATGGGTTAAGGCTCTTTGGCTCAAAGAATATAGTTTTTGCTTTGTAAGTAATAAACATCCACATATTACCAGTAAAATAATGTATATGTTGTTTTAGAATTAAATTACACTACACACGTAATTTTTTTAATGCTGTGCTATTTATCTCTAAATTATATAATGTAAAAAAAGTCACAATCTTTGACTATAACTTTATGGAGGAATAATACGGGAAATTTACCTCATAAAATTGTCATTTGTTATACTTCTCTTCCTCCATTAGACAACAGAAAAAAGGAAGACAAGCAGAAATGGGTTTCCACTTAAAATGACTTAGAAATGTGAATTATAAAGGAAACAGTCCAACCGCTCTTTAGCCAGAAATAGACTTCCAAAGGTGACTGATCAAAAGAACATAAAGACCAGGGACAATATATTCAAATTTCTCATGAGGTTAGGCTCCTAAATTCATACTTAAACAACAAATAAGCTATCCTACTTTTTTTAATTGCTGAATGTTCAGCAACTCCCTGTAAAGTCAATGAACACCTAACTGTTTTACCTTTCTAAATATCAAGTCACTCAGGTGACTAAAAAAAAGCTCCTGTTTTTTTTTTGAAATACTGACTCATCACTCCCACTCCAAGAGAGGGGAAGACAATCTCTCAGCTACAGGGAAGATGAGGTTAAAAGAACCTGATAGAAAAGAGGTAGTGATAAGAAATGTGCAACTTATGACAAACCAGTTAACAATAAAGTATTCTTCTAGTTATTCATCTCTTTATCTCCCCAAAAGGAAAATTTATTGACAGATATTTGCAATATAGAGCTGAAAGCCTTTTGAGAGATTCATTTGTAAGCCAAGCTGCTCAGGAAATGCTTTGTAAAAATTTTTCCCATGTAAAATTTTGTTGAATTATTCTCATATACATTTTCCAGGGAAAATGATTATAACAATTAGAACATGATCTTAAAAACAGTAAGGTTTTTCAATTAAAACTTAGTATCTGCTATAGAAAGCAGGCTCTCTTCAGACACAATAATAAGTTTCGTCAAAAACCCAGTTTTCTGTCTAAAAACAGTTTTGCCAGAAACCATTCATTTGGCCCTATTTTTACAACCTGAGGAAGAATAAAGAAAATATTCATCTGCCAATCATGACAACTTTTTGTGGGGAAGCCTGAGGGCTCCTGTTTCCAGGTGAAGAAATATCCTTCCTCAACTTTAATAATGTTTGAAAACACATAACAAGCACATCTCCACTGAGATTTGTGAAACATAATTTTATGCCTAGGTTTATCCCTGAATTGTCAACCAACATATTTCAATATAAAATTATATGAATCTTACCCAAAATTATCTTGGTTACAATTGGTTAAGACAGGGGTATCAAATATACGGTCCCTGGGATGGATCCAGCCTGAAGAGCCCTATTATCTGGTCTCCAGTACTGTCCTTGGGTTTGAACTGACCTAGACCAGCCCCATGAATAGGGCATGGGACAGGCACCACATATGGCACCCTCTGTAAACTGTCCTGTATGAGATGCCTGCCCCAGGCACTCCTGGATATGTACCTCACATGGTGCTTGCTTCAGCTGGTCCAGGACCAGTGCTGTACATGGTGCCATAGTCCTCAACTGGCTAAGGCAGGCACCTGCATGTGCAACACAGTTGTGCACTGGCTACTGGGGTTGCCTTGTACAGGACAGATCCCAGAGCGGCCAGAAAGGTCACCATAGGCCACATCAGGCACTGCATGTAACATGATGCCTGCTCTCATCAATCTGGGATCTGTGCTACGTATGATGCCTGCCCTGGCCTGACTGTGCCACCCCAGCATCCATTCTAGACACTCTGGGATGCTGGCCACATGGAAACGCAGATCCCACAGTGGCCAGAGTGGGTGCTGGATCTGACACTAGGGGGAAGGATGGAGGGAGCGGTCCAGACTCCATGTCACTCATCCAACCCATGGGGCTAGACGAGTCTGACACCCCTTGGTTAAGAGGAATGTAATAAGGTATATCAACTCCTTCCAGGCAGAGAGTGATTTTGGGTAGAATGAAGAGTATAAACACCTTTTTGCAGCAAACAGCTAGTAGCGAGAAGAGGGAGGAGTGAGACAAGTCCTGAAATTCTACTTGTTTTAGTGGGTGGACTGATGGAAAAACCCAGTGGTGGTAGGAAAACCTTTAGAATGTGTCAAACCTATTCTAATGCTGCTGATGTGCACTGTTTGAAATAGGAAAGATGTTATTTCTCAGGAAGCACTGGGATATTTAAATAATCTTTCTGGAGGAGCAGGTTGTGAATGTGATGGAGAGGATCACAATTTGTTCACATTGTATCCTAAACTATTGTACAGTATTGTTATCTTTTGCCTCAAGTATTGTTGCATTTCTTTGGTGTAGGAATGAATCTAGTTTATCTTTCTACATGAAAGACAATTTGTAAGTGTTGATCATCTATATTATAGCTCTCCATCTGGCCCTGTTGAAATGGATCAGCAGAAGTTCTGTATGTTTAAAATAAACTGAGTGGAACAAAATTAGGAATTGTTCTGATACCACCAGAGTGAAAATTATTCTACAGCAGAGTTTCTGGGAAAGTGGGGTAAAACCAAAACATATTAGATGGATGAAATTAAGAGAACCACCCCCCACCCTTGAAAAAAAGTAGTAAGAGGAGCCAACGGTCCCGTTTTAATGAAGTTAGCAGATTATATGAGAATTCCTTGTTGAATATCCAATATCTTTGGATCCTTACAGAGTAATTGTTGAGGCCCTGGTTAATGCTAGCCAATTTTCTGGCATGCTTTATTGTAAGACGTTGTTTGACCTTTCTTGATATGCTGCATTAATGAAATGGATTCATTCTCAACTCTTCAGACTACTAAGAATGAAAATAGTCACAAGGAATGGAAAAGACCAATATGGTATGGTTTATGTCATGGGTTTGCTACCAGGACATGTCAAAATCATTTGTGAGAGCTGGTAGACAAAGTCATTCAAAGATAAAACTGGTTTACACCCAGGCCATAGAATCAGAGTCAAAGTGATTCTGCAGTATATATTATAGAGCAGTTCTGCTCCAAATACAATTTCTTGACTAAGCCAGGATCAAAGCTCTACACAGATGATCTAAGCAAAAAGAACCTTTCTTTTCTATGGGTAAGAAGCACTGCAATATGAACTTCCCTCTTTTCTTCCATCTTTTATGCATGAGGTCTAGAATAAAAGACAGAAACACAAGTGAGCTGTACAGTTCTGGAACTCTTTTCTTTCTGGAAAAGAGTGACCAAGTGGTTTCCAGATACTAGCTTTCACTGTCAAGCTATGTACCTCTTACCTTACATGAATATATGGATATACTGGCAATAAATAGTACACATTTATTGTACACATTTGTTCTTTAAAAATATGTCTTCAGTTTTTGCAGTGCTATAGTCAGACTTGGCTATCTAAAAGTGGGCTTACATTTTCCAAAATGAGACTTTTTTTCCAAAATTAAGACAACCTTTAGCAGACTTCTAGATATAACAACCTTAGATTTTTGCTTCTAATATGGAAATGTTAATAAAGGCATTATAGGAAAAAAAAGAATGGGGAGGGGGGACAACACACTGGATCACTGTGCTTATTGCTGACTGGCAATAATAATAAAATGTACTTAACTACAGTGGAAATGTTCATTGGCTATGACAGTAGGAGTAGGATTGCCTGCGGAAAGGCAATTCGATAAAATTTAAATAGGGTGATGTCCCCCATTCTGAACAGACTCAATAGAAAAAAAGACTCAGCAAATTTTTGTAGTGCTTTTCCTGTCCTAACATGTTATCTTACATCACTGCCTGGTGTTGAATGGCTAATTAATTTAAACATCATGACACCTAGAGAAAGGGTGGGTCCATAAACTCAAACCAGAAGATAAGGGTTTTTTTCTTTCTTTTTTTCTTTCTTTCCTTTGTTTATTTTTTTTTAAAGATGTAAAGCAGAATTCCCCACACTCTCCAACCTTCAAATCTATTATTACCAAGCAAGCTAAGAAAGATAAATGCTTCTGGATCAGTTTAAGACATGAGACGTTCCTAACTTTCTGAGTCAGATGCTTGTTTAGAAAAAAAATCTCTACATCTGTGTAATGTTCCTGTTAAGGACTGCACATAAGTGAAAGCTAGAAGAGACCATGGCTTTCTTCCATGGTGTTTTACAGACTAGAATGAGACAAGGAAGAGAGGAAACACATGCAAGAAGGTGCAGACAAGGAAGAGACTTGATAACGGAGTAAAGTGACACAGAGATAAGATAGGAAGTAAAGGGGAAAATGGGTGGATAAAAAAACTGAGGAATAGTAAGCAGATGAAAAAATTGCTGAGTGGAGGTGGAATTCCTATCTGAAATAAGTCTTATGATAGTCCTTTCTCTGTTCTGTAATGTTTGTTTCCCTGGTTCCTCACCAAGGTGAAATCAATAGAATGTCATTCTCACTTCCTAGTATGAAATCTCTGGCCAGCAAAAATGATTAAAAGTCCAAAGTACTATATCCTCATATAAACTCCTTTCCTCTGGCTCCCCCATATCTTCTCACAGTCTGTCATGTTATTCTTGTCTTGATAACTGCGCAAGTATATAACCTTATTATGCTTTGCCAGGAAATTGCTGCCCTTCCTTGCCACAAAGACACTGCAGTAATTCTATTTTCTATGAAAAAGTACAAAATAGAAGGAAAAATTAACCCTTTAATGAAAAAGTTATAAAGGCAGTTTTAAGAGGTAGGAGGGGAGGTAGGAGGGGTGGCGCTTTAATTAGAGCATCTCTCTTTAAACACCTCAGCGTCTTGTGTATCAGCATCCCCGTGCTTCCAAATGCTGACAGGGGCATTTGCACTAAAGCTTGTTTGACGAATTTAGTTCAAGCGCCACTGCCACCACTTTTTTAATTTTGGGACACTGATACATAAGACGCAGGAGGCTTCTGGAGTACAGTAATCACCATGCTCCAGCAGACTTGATTAAAGGAGTCTGTTCTGATGCGCTGTAGTTCTAGAGCATTGGAGCAGCATCCGCCCTTAAGATTCTTCCTGATACCTGGGGCATCTAGATTTTGGGTGCATCTACATGTGACACTACAATGCCATAGCAATGTGCTACGGTGATGTAGCATCTGCAGGCATCTACATGTGACCAGCAGCTACTTCACCATAACGACAGGCTCCCCTAGAATAGTGCACCGCTATGGCAAAGTAGCTGTTTAAATAACTGCACTGCACATACAATGCACGTACAGTGCAGCATGGAGTGTTACTGTCCTTTGGAAGTACTAAATCATGGAGCAGTAACTTCATCTCCATAGTGACATGTGCCCATTGTGTCCTATATTTGATTAGTCTCCAAAACCAACCCAACTGAGTAGAAAGTGACTATTCTTCAAGTTTACCTCAAATGCATAAAATGTTGTACAGCTTACCTCCAAATAACTCTCTGAGGCAATCTTGCCAGGGCTTGCGCTAACTTATTTGCTATATCTTCTGACAAATATTTCACTCCAGCTCCAAATGAGACAAGGACAAAGCCATTTTCATTAGCACCATTCACCCAGCTTTGGAGGTCCTGTTAAATCAGAAATTTACAGTCAGCACCATAAAGCATAAATGTGATTTAGAATAGAACTAAAATTACCACTAAATACTAAAAACTTTTTTTGGTCACTGCACTACTGGATAATCCAAGCCCCAAAAGGAATTTTAATTTTATAAGTTAAGAGATATAATGAGCTGGGGATTCAGATAACATAAATTATACCAAGACTATTAAATTTCTTCTGAGGTTGGGTATAAACTTCTTAATTAACAGTCTGTTTAACAAGTGAAATGATTCTTTCCTATTTGGTCAGAATCAACAAATATATACATATCCACGTAAAAGACTTGTGTTTGACTAGAAATAAATAGGTAATCCATCTTTATGCACATGAGTAAGATGCATAAAATGTATGAATGAAATCTCAAAATCAGGTTTGGTATTTGACCTCAGTGAAAGAAAAAAAAGGAACTTTAGATAGGTGTGTTTGTTTTTTTACTATAGTACTACAAGTGCATCTACACAAGCAACTAGAGATTTGGGGAAAGGGACTGAACAACATTTATAAGAAGAAATTAATAGTACTGTACAGGGACAAGTTTCATTATACAAGAGGTTTTGTTTACGGTAATCTCCAGAGATAATCAAACAAGGTGAAAGATTCTTCATCTTATTCACATAACTGCATAGCTTCCAAGAAAACAAATTAACAATATTATAAAATAGCACTCTCCAAAATCAAACTTCCTGCCTTTAGATCCAAAACCAATAGAAAATCCTAACTTAACTTAAATCAAAGCAAAGCTTCCTTTGATTCAATGGAGTCAGAATTTTATCCTGAAAACTGGTGGTGTTGACAGGGAGAGACCAAATCTCCAAATTTCTGCAGTTCTTTCCTCAAAGTATGTATTACATAAAATATGGCTCCCTAGGCAAATAAACAGCCAGTGTTGTTATACTTAATATGTTTTACTAGTGTTCCTTTACTTGCTATACATATTCTGTAAATAGAAACCCCTTCGTGATAACACTTTCAAAAACTTCTTTTGGTATAGACACCTATAATAAGCAATGTACCAATGGAGACAGTGGAAGCTTAGTTAAGAATTGGTTAAGAAGTGTTTTTTTTAGATTCACCTTGTTTGTAGTACAAGCTATTAAATCTGCAGATCCCCTGTGTATGACACAGGATATATGCTGTACATTACAAAACAAGTTATAGGGTACATGACTAATAGATTACAAAGTAAACCCACCACCAATCTTTAACTGTTTACCAATAAACTGCAGTACAGGCAAGGATATTTCTTTTAGTACTGAGCCTGATTACTCCGCTAATTAATTTCCAGGTTATGGGCTTATTTGTGCCAGCAGAGGTCCCTAGTGAAAACTCAAGAGAAGTAGTTTTCTGCTATCCCCTCCCTTCCCAACCAACAAAGGCTAAGCTAATTAAAGTTCTGTTCTCTTGATACAGTTGTGTCTATACCAGGAGTTTTGTTAGTTTAGCTACACAGGCTAGGGAGTAATTTTTTCATGCTTCTAATTGACATAGCCAGCAAAACTCTGTACTACTGATAAAGCCTAAGCCAGCATTTGCCTTTGAGCATTGTAGGCAACAGTGGACACATCTACACGTGAAATTAATGTGAAGCGATAAACTCTGGTGTATATTGTGCCAGAGTTTGTTCCTCCTGGACACTGTGTTTACATGTGTGCCTGGGTCTGCAGCATGTTGAGTTGGACTAAAGATGCCCTGGCTGTCAGGGGACCCGGGGTGTCGGCTTCTCAGACCGGGGCTGCTCCGTCCCAGCTCATCATGCTGCAGAGGGGCTGGATGGAGCATGAGGGTGCTTCAGTGCAGGGCTAGCCAGCAGGCAGCCCCCACACTGAAGCATCCTCCTGCCCCAGTCAGCCCTGTCAATGTCGACATGTGTGTTGCTACACAGAAAAGTACTCTGCCACAGGACAGTACTTGTATTTACCAGTAGTAACCTACAGTGGAGTTCATTAGCTTACTGCAGCATAATAGGGCCACATGTGTAGATATGAAGACTTTACTGTGGAGCTAATTAGGCAGCTCTGCAGTAAATGTGCCATGCAGACATGTCCAGGGCTTCCTTAAAACAAAAAGTCTCTCCAGATATCAACACAAAGCCCTCCCCACCATTTCTGAAAGAGGTGGTGATGGTAAAGAAAGGAGCATGGCTTAGCTGCCCAGGAACTACTGAGCACCTTCATTAGTCAACCAAAGGAACAACAACAAATTAAAATTCACCTTTCCTGACCATGCAATAGCTTATTTTGTTTGTGAAGGAAAGTGAGCCTAGCAAGAATAAGACAGATCTTTTTAACACTGATACATTCACCCTCCCAAAAGAAGAGACATCTACATTTTAAAAACATAAAATCATAGAAAGCAGGGCCAGAAGGGACTTCCAGAGGCTATCTAGTCCAACCCCCTGCCTGAGGCAGGAGCATCCCTATCCAAATCATCCTATGTAATCTATAATCTAAGCTCTACATAAGATTACCATCAATCCTGACACAGCACAGACCTAACACCCTAACCTGCCACAGGTAAAGCAAGGGAACAGCAGCAGGCAATATCCTGCTTCTATAAAATGTTGTCAATATATTCACAAGAGATCCTGGGTAAAAAGCCATGCTCCACACTGAAAGAAAGGGAAACCCCCCACAGTCCATACCAATTTGACCATGGAATAAAATTCCTTCCTGACCCCAAATACAGCAATCAGTCTGACCCTGAGCAGAGGGACAAGACCCTGGCTACGGTCTCAGCATGAGCAGTGGCACACCCTAATCAAAATGCCCAGCCTTAGATGTAGCCAATACCCAATGCCACTGAGGTGGGCCTAAAAACACCCTTACCCATGTAGCAGAAAGAGGGGCACAGGGGCAACCAGCAAAGCCCAGAAACACTAGAAATACCATAGCCATAGGTACACCTAGATCATCCCTGGCTAGTGGCTGCCCAACCTGTTCTTGAGCACCTCCAGTGATGGAGAGTCCACAACTTCCCTAGGCAGTCTTTTCCACAGCCTCACTATTATAACAATGAAGAAGTTTTTCCAGATATCCAATTTAAATTTACTTTGATGCAACTTCAAGCCACTGGTCAGTGTCTTCCTCTCCACAGCAAGAGAGAGAAGGAGTTTTCCCTCACCTTTATGGCAGCCCTTCAAGTAGCTGAAGTCTGCTATAATATGCCCTCTTAAGGACCTTTTCTGAGTGCTGAACTTTCCTAGCTCCTTACACCTCTCTTTATATAACTTGCTTTTCAAGCCCTTTATCATTTCTGTTACCTGCCTCTGGACCTTCTGTAATTTCTCCACATAGTTACAGTCTCAGCAAATAGGCCAGCTATGTATTACAAACTCAATTTGCTGTCACTAGGGATAATCACTTAGTGTAATTACAATTCTCATTACTACTACTATTATCATTATATACAGAATGCTAATTATTCATTTTCTTAGGAAGACAGTTTTGCTTTCACTTTCCAGAAAAATTGTAAGTTGTAGCTACTTTGTAACTGAGCCGAGTACAAGGAAAATGGACTGAGGGTAACAGACTGAGGGTAACATTTATTAATGTTTTGGACAATGGGACTGTGTGCACATTTAGCAGATTTGCAGATGACACTAAGTTGGGCTGAGCTGCAGATATGCTTGGAGGGTAGGACTAGGATCCAGTAAGACCTGGAGAAACTAAAGAAATGATTCAAAATCAATAATTCAACAAGGGCATGTGAAAAGTCCTGCAGCTGGGATGGAATAACTGCATGCACAAATACTGATTGGGAAATGAGAGGGATCTTGGAGTCAAGATCGACTCCAGGATGAATATGAGTTGCCAATGCGACGAAGCAATAGGCAGAGCCAACTGCACCCTGTCATACATCAACAGGGGCATCACTAACAGGTCCAGAGAGGTCTTGCTCCCCCTCTATGTCGCACTGGTCAGGCGGCAGCTGGAGTACTGTGTCCAGTTCTGGGCACTGCACTTCAACAAGGATGTGGAGAACCTGGAGAGGGTCCAGAGGAGGGCCACTCGTATGGTTGAGGGCCTCCGTGGCCAGCCCTATGAGGAAAGGCTGAGGGACCTGAATCTCTTCAGTCTCCGCAAGAGAAGACTGAGGGGGGATCTTGTGGCTGCCTACAACCTTATCAGGGGCCAGCAGCAGGGACTCGGGGAAAGTCTGTTCACCAGGGCCCCCCTTGGAGTCACCAGCAACAATGGCCACAAGCTAAGGGAGGATAGGTTTAGGTTAGATATTAGGAAGAACTACTTCACTGTAAGGGTGGCCAAAGCCTGGAATAGCCTTCCCAGAGAGGTGGTGCTCTCACCTTCCCTGGAAATCTTCAAGAGGAGACTGGATAGGCACCTGGCTGGGGTCTTATGACCCCTGCCACCCCCAGTGCTCCTTCCTGCCCGTGGCAGGGGGTTGGACTAGATGATCTGTCTAGGTCCCTTCCGACTCATTGATTCTATGATTGGCTAGGTCGCAGTACTGCAGAGAAGGACCCAGGAGTTACAGTGGACCATAAGCTGAATATGAGCCAACAGTGTACTCTTATTGCAAAAGAAAGGGGAAAAAAACCCCAAAACAAATTAGAACCCAAACAAAAACAAACAAACAAACAGCATACTTGGTTGTATTAATAGCATACTGGGTTGCAATCTCACTTGAAAATTAAGGGAAATGATTCTTCCTTTCTATTCAGCAGTGGTGAGTCATAATCATAGAATCACAGAAAATTAGGGTTGGAAGGGATCTCGGGAGGTCATCTTGTCCAACCCTTGCTCAAAGCAGGACTATCCCCAACTAGGTCATCCCAGCCAACGCTTTGTCTAGCCAGGTCTTGGAAACCTCACCTGAAGTACTGTGACCAGTTTTGGGCTCCACACTTCAAGAAAGATATGGACAGAATGGAAAGAGTTCAGCAGAGAGCAACAAACAAGATTAGACACCTGGGAAGCATACTTAGGCTGAAGAGCTAAAGTTATTT